ATAAGCTTGGCTAAAGCTTTATCAATTTTGATTATATTTTAAAGAACCAGTTCTTGATTTGATTGATTTTTTTTTGTATTTTCAGTCTCTATTGTTTTTCCTTCCATTCTGATCTTCATTATTTCCTTTCTTCGGGCTTCGGGCTTTGCTTGTTTTTTCCTAATTCTTTTAGGTGTGAGGTTATATTGTTTATTTGAGATTTTTCTTGTTTCTTGAGGTAGGACTTTATTGCTATGAATTTCCCTATAAGGACTGCTTTGGCTATGCCTCAGATTTGGGGTTATTGTATTAATATTTTCATTTTCATTTATCTCAAAGCACCTTTTCATATACTCCTTGATCTCATTGTTAATCCATTCATTGTTCAGTAGTGTGTTACTTAGCCTCCATGTTTGTGTGTTTTTCATTTTTCTTCTTGTAATTGATTTCCAGTTTTATACTGTTGTGATCAGAGAGGCACTTTATATGATTTCAATCTTCTTAAACTTTTTAAGACTTGTTTTGTGACCTAACATGTGGTCTGTCCTGGAAAATACTCCATGTGCACTTGAAAAGCATGTATATTTTGTTGCTTTTGGGTGAAATGTTAAAAAAAATACTAATTCCATCTGGCCTAATTGTCATTTAAGGCCACTGTTTCTTTTTTTATTTTAAGATTTTATTTATTTATTTTTTTAGAGAGAGGGGAAGGAAGGGAGACAGAAAGGGAGAGAAACATCAATGTGTGGTTGCCTCTTGCATGCCCCCAACTGGGGGCCTGGCCCACAACCCAGGCATGTGCCCTGACTGGGAATCAAACCCACAACCATTTGGTTCTCAAGCCAGCACTCTACCCAATGAGTCACACCAGCCAGGGCAAGGCCATTGCTTCCTTATTGATTTCACTTTCAGTCTGAATGTGTCTTTTGATTTGAAGTGAGTCTCTTGTAAGCAGCATAAAGATGTATCATGTTTTTTAATACATTCAGCCATCCTATTTACTTCTGAATTGATATGTATGTACTTATTGACATTTTAAAATTGTTTTATGGTTGTTTTTATAGTCCTCTTCTTTTTTTTGGTGTCTTCTGTGTGGTTTGCTGTTTTACTTGAGTATTTTGTTTGGATTCCTTTCTGGTTTGTTTGTTTGCATATTTTGTATAGACTTTTGACTTGTGGCTACCATGAAGTTTGTGTATGTCACTCTGTATCTATAGCAGTACATTTTAAGCATTTAAATTTAAGTTCTTTTTGTAAGGACTATATTTTTACAACCCCCTCCATGTTTTATGTTTTTGCTGTTACTTTTTTAGATCTTTTTTGTTGTGTACCTCCTAACTATGTATTATAGTTAGAATTGAGCTTGATGCTTTTTCTTTTGACCTTTGTAGTAGCTTTTTAGATGTCTGATTTTCAGTATTTATTAAATATTTGCCTTTATCTTTTAGATTTTTTCCCTTTTCTCATATTTTGTTATTTCTGGTTATGGCCGTTCCTTTTCTGTTTAAAGAAGACCCTCTAACATTTCTCATACAATTGGTTTAATGGTGATTTGCTCCTTTAGTTTTTGCTTGGTCAGGAAAACAAGCTCCTGCTTTCACACTGTAACAATGTCCTTTTGCTCCCGTCCGACTGGTCAGGTTGCTGCTGAGAAATCAGCTGACAGCATTATGCTGTCTCCTTTGTATATAGCTTGTTGTTTTCCTCCCGATTCCTTCAAGATTGTCTCTTTAACTTCTGCCATTTTAATTACAGCGTGTCCTGGTGTGGGTCTCTGTGGCTTCGTGTTGTTTGGGACTCTCTGTGTGTCCTGAAACTGGATGTCTGTTCCCTTTCCCAGGTTGGGAAAGTTTTCCACCATTATTTGTTTAAATAAAATTTTTTTCTTTTCTATTTTTTAACCAGATTTAAAATAAATATTTAATTAGGACTTCACTAGTATTTAATATTTTCTTCTAAATAAATTTTCTGTTTCTTTCTCTTCTCCTTCTGGAATTTCTATAACGTGAATGTGTGAGCACTTGGTGTTATCCCGGAGGTCCCTTAAATGAATCCTCATTTTCTTTGTGCTTTCTGGTTGGTTGATTTCCACTAGTTTATCCTCTGGGTCACTTATCTGTTCTTCTCTATTGGATAGTCTGTGTTGATTCCTCCTAATGTGTTTTTCATCTCTGCCATTGTATTTTTCAGTTCTGCTTGGTTATTTATTATGCTTCGTAACTCTTTGTTGAAGTTCTCCATAAGTTCCTCTATTTCATTCCCAAGTTTGGTGCGCATCCTTACGACTGTTACTTTGAATTTTTCTTCAGGAAAATTATCTCCACTTCCTAAAGGTTTTTTCTTTATTTAATTTTATTTTAAAATTAAATTTACCAGTGTAACATTGGTTAAGTTTTTTTTTCTGGGGATTTTTCTTTTTCCTTCATTTGAGAGACATACTATCTTTTCACTTTCACTGTGCGTTCAAATGAATTAGGGGAAATAGCTGTCTCTTCCAGTCTCGAAAAAGTGGCCTTATGTAGAAGCTGTGAGTAGACTGTCAGGTGATTTTGGCTGGCTGGGAGGAGCTGAGCAGGTGCGTGGGATGTCCTGGGCACTGGCCTACCAAACCAGAGCGGCTCTGGATGGGGAGTCCAGGTGCACATGGTAATGTCCTGTTGGGTGTGCTTGCTCCCTTCGTTTGGAGCCAACATGGGCTCGGGAACTCAACTTGCAGCAACCTTGCAGGCATACCAGAGTGCCTGGATTGAGGCTCCACCTACCTGTGGAGGTGGAGGGGATGTAAACAATGGTATTCACTTGCGCCTCCAGCCTCGGAGTATTCCCGTGGTTCCTGGAGAGTTCCCATAGCTCCCACCCTTCTTCATACAGTCTCTCTCCTGTTGTACAGAAAGTGAGCCCGTGTAGAAGCAGCTTCTGTGCCTTTGTGCCTGGTAGTTTTGGGGAAGCTAGTTGCAGCCAACTGGGTGCTTATGGAGCCTGGGTCACTGGCCTGCCAGGCTTAGTGGTCCTGGCAGGGAAGCCTGGTGCATGTGGTGACATCCTGCTGTTCCTGATTTCTCCCTTTTTGTTGGAGGCAAAAGGTTCCAGGCAGTCTTGCAGGCAGGCTAGAGCCCTCCAAACAGAACTCTGCCCACCCTGTCAAAGTGGAGCTGAGTGTAAACAGTGGTGCTCAATGGCTCCTCCAGTAGGGAGCGTTCCCACAGCTCCTGGAGGGCTCCCGTGGCCTCCCAGCCTCCTCTATTCGGTCTCTTTCTGGTTTTCGGAAGATGTCGTTCAGTCCTCAGTTGTCTTGCAAGAGTAATTGTTCTCTATACATATGTGTGTGTTTGGTTTTCATGGTTGAGTACAGTGTCCTCCTACACCAAGGCCATCTTGGACCTCTAGGTTCAGGCATCTTCATAGCTGTACTTGGAGAGGAGAGGCTGAGAGTTCATGGGGGGCCCTGGAGGGAGTAGAGGGTGAGTTCAGCCTGGAGGAGACCTCAGCCACTGAGTCCATGGGAGGGAGGAAGGACTGTGTCTACAGGGGGTGGCAGGGAAGTAGAGGGGCCTCATCTCTGGCTTCCCAGTCAGGCTGTCCTCTGCAGACACGGGGAAGACATCGGGAAGGTGGGGTTCTCAGTAACTCCTCAGGTCGAGGGACAGGAGCCAGGGTTGACCAGGGGCTGTGGGCTCAGCTGAGGGTGGAGACAGGCCCAGCTCTCTGCCCAGCTGGGGGTTCGAGCAGGAAGTGGGACTGCCTCTGCACTGGGGGTGAGGGGTACGGAGCAGGGCTCTGGTGAGAGGGGGACTCTGGCCGTTCCACACAGCTCACCTAGCCTGCTCTACCCTCTTCTGGAAACTCCAGGGTGTCTCAAGTTGCCAGAGTCTGGCCAGGAGCCTGGGACACCGTGGCCAGGGGCGCTGGCTGGACAGGGAGGAGCTGGCATGAAGGGTCAGATCCTCACCTGGCGGGTCTGCCAGAGGCTGCGGAGGAGCTTGTTGAGGCACTTTGGGTAGGGCAGTGAACCCCACTCCTGACCCTGCCACTCCAGGTTTCACTCACATTCCCTTGGGCCTGAGGAGAGGCGGGGGCTGACCCCTGAATCCTTCACCATTCCGGAGGGGTGTCCTAGGAGTTAATGTGGGGAGCCCAGCCTAGCCTGGGCACCAACACTGGGGAGGGGTTTCTTTTCCTTTCCTCCAAGAAGGTGGCAGAATCACTCAGACCCCAAGAGCTCCACCCAGAAGGCCCCTGTTTGGAGAAGAGACATATCCCCAGGCTCCCAGGAAGCGCCATGTTTATTTAGTGCAGGCTGGTGCTAGGGGTCAGCTCCCTGCCTTCCCCCTCGGACACACACCCGGGATCACATGGACTGTTCGGACAAAGGTGGGAGTTTCTGACCTGCCCCGACCCTGCTGCTCGCTGCCCCCTTCATGGAGGGCAGAGGTGCAAGGCCCGAAAGCCAGGAAGGGACATCTGACATCTGTGGTCCCAGGGGCTACACTGGGGCTTTCAGCCCAGGCACCCCAATGTGCCAGGAATGGGGTGGACCCCACTTTGGTCAGGCCCAAAGCCTTGAGAAGTCCAAGCCCCACCTCCACCATGGTGGAGGGGCATCTCCTGGCTGAAAGTCTGTCACTCCCCAGGCCAGGGAGCTCAGAAAGCCTCTCTGTGGCTGGGAGGGGACCTCCTGGGCCCGTTGCCCACCCTGCACTGGGCCCAGCAGCCCCCGCCGATCTGCCGCACTGTCCCGGCTGGTCACTGAAGGTACCCCGAGCCCTGGGACAGGAGCCCAGGTGGGGTCTGGCGCCACCCGTCCTGTGGCCCTGGACGGTCACTTCGCCTGTCCGAGACTGTCTTCCTCACCGCAGTCAGGGGGAATGTCCCCCATCCCAGGGCCGTGAGGAACCTGCTGCCCTGTCACTGCGCCACTCATTTCTGAGAATGGCCCCTCCTCAAATCACGGGGCTGAGACTGAATCCCAAACCCAGCGAGGACTGCCCCCACCCTCCCACTGACAATTCAGAGATGACATGTCAAGATGGCAGCTTTAATCATCTTGGCCAAGGTCCGTCAGGCTCCCCCCACAGGGCAGGCCTTCGAGGCCACGTGCCCACCGCTGACCACACCCCAGACCACTCTTCCCAGGTGGCCCCTGCCCTGTGGCCACTCAGGTCGCATCTGTCCGTGGATGCCCTGAGCCGCTCTGCCCTGGAGGCCTGCCAGACACCTGGGCACGGGATCGAGCAGCCCCGAGCCTGCTCTTCTGGCCGTTTCCGGCCGTTTCCAGCTGCTCCCGGCTGGGAACACGGCTCCGCCAGGTTCCCGGGGCGGGGCCGGTGGTGATGGGAGCCTGGTCAGGAGGAGCAGCTGCACCACTGCGGCCGGCTCCCTCCCAAGTCGAACCTCCTTGTGCTTTGAGACTGATGTGAAGGGAGGGCTGCTGGGGGCAGAGGCCCAGTGCCATCAGGTCCTCAAGGCAGGAGAAACCAGGGAAGTCGGCCGCCTCACAACACGAACACGTGAGCATCCACATCCTGTTCTGCCACGGGGGTGCGGCATGGCCCAGCAGAACTTCTGGATAGGGATGCGAGGGGACCTCGGGAGGACTGGGCCCCAGGCCCCATGCTTCCCAGCAGAAGGATCCCCAGGCCTGCAGGGGCAACCGAGAGGCTGGAGTCCTGGCCCAGCTGGGCCTCGGGGACGAGGGGGGGCCCCCACCCCCATGAGAGGCCATGGCAGACGAGGGCTAGAGCCACTGAGGCCGTGGAGCCAGCTCCCAGGGCACCCTGGGTCCAGACACACTTCCGCCAGCTCTTTTGGGCATCCTGGTCTCTGCGTTAGGTCCAGCCTGGGAGAACAGGTCTTCAACTAGCGGCCACTCCTGTCTGTGAGGGTCCTGGCACGGCCGCCAGTCCCCCGGGGGTCCCCTGGGGTGGCGGTGCTGTTGGAGTATGTGTCGTAGCTGTTGTCGGAGCACACGGAGAGCTCATCGGAGACCTCCATGCCATCGCTGATCTCTGCGGGGCCAGAGGAGGCAGAACGTGAGTGGGGGCGGGAGAAGGCTCACCGGGGGTGGCTGGACGACACTGTGGGAAGGACGTGTCTGCAGTGACGCCTGGTCAGGCACTTGGAGGCTGATGAGACCACTGGGTTCAGGTTTGGTGTTGAGCGTAGTGTCCACTCTCTGCTGGAACGCTGCCTGCTAGCCCCCGGAAACCATGTGCACCCTCCCGAGCATGGCACCGTGTGTTAACTCTCCGCAGGGCCTCGGCACACGCCAGGCCCTCTCCTGGGGGGGACCTCCCGTCAACACCTCCTTGTCTTAAAGTCTGGCTCTGTTCCCCTCCTCTATGTTACTGCAGCCTCCTGCAAGCCTCCCTGATCCCCCTCCCCCGGCTGGGGTGGGACCTCCCCCTCGCCACCCTAGCCCCTGCTGCCCCTGCCCCGTCACTGCCTGTGGCCTCATCACCTGGGACACTTCAGGGACAGGGGTAAGGTCTGGGCATCTGTGTCCCCAGGGCCTGGCACAGTCAGGACACACAGCAGAGGCACAGGAAGGGTCTGCTGAGTGGAGCTGCGTACCCGCTCCCCCAAGGGGGCTGGGGGTTCCTCTGTGGGGTTGAGGGTCTCTGGAGAGGGCCTCTATTCAACCTAGAGTGGGCGGCGGTGGGGACTGGGGCTGACTCCACAGAGCCTGCACTCGGAAGGTGCCCAGTGAATGGTTTGGGGTGCTACATGAGAGGCGAGGGTCCGGCTGGGCAGGAACTGCCGGGCCTGGGGGCTGGCCTCCTGCCTGCAGTTCATTCCACTGGCCCCTTCCTCCAGGAGCTCTGCTGGGTGGCCAGAGGGCTGTGGAAGGCTGGGGAGGCCCTCCACCCTGGTCCTGGGGCTTAGGGAAGGCTCCCCAGAGGAGGAGGTTTTCTGAGCTAAGGTAAGCCCAAATCTGTGTGTCTTAAGCACCTAAAGCAGTGTGTGGCATTCATCTGTTAGAGGGGTGAGTGAGGGAAGGAGCAAATGAGATGTTCACACGATCCTTGGTCCTTGGAGCCAGCCCCCACCCCAAAGCACAGTCACCCCTGTGGGGCCCTCTGCCACTCACGCAGTGTTTACCAAGTACCCCTCTGGGCCGGGCATGGCAGTAACCCTCACAAGCACCTCAGGAGGGGATGCTAGCCCATCTTACAGAGCAGTCTGATGCTGAGAGAGGTTAGTGTGCTCGGCTCACACACTGAGCTGGGGGCAGTGCTGGGGTTTGAAGTGTGCTATAAATCTCTCCCCTTCTGTCTGGTCCCACGCCCACGTCTCTGGCCTGAATCACTGAGCCGCACACTAGGAGAATGCCATGTGAACAGGAAGACGACCCTCTACAAGCCGAGGGGTGCAGCGTGGGCCGGATCTTCCCACACAGCCCTGCTGACCCCTTGATCTTGGACTCCCAGCCTCCAGACGGTGAGACAATAAATCTGTTGTTTAAGCCCCCGCTTTGTGGTTCTTTGTCGCAGCCTGCTGAAGACAGATCTGCCCACAGCCCTTCTCTGCTTTTAGAACAAAGCCCAAGTTCCTGATCACACACCCGGGGCCCAAGAATCTCCCCTCCTCCACCCCCTAGCACCATCTTGGGGTGAGCCTGACAAAGGCGCCCCCCGCTCAAGCCATCTGGAAAGGTACTTAGCTCTCTCGGTGCCCTGGGAGGCAGTGCTCCTTCACCCCCTCTGACCACAGGGTTTTCGTGCCTGGGACGCCCTTCCTTCCCTCCGCTCGCCCAGCCCGGGCCTCAGACCCATCACCGGGCCCCTCCCAGCCATCCTTCCCAGGTCCCCGCCCGTGCCACTTCCTTGCACAGAGGGCTCCAAACCCTCCACATGAGCCCAGGGAGCGCTGGCCACCCCACTCGGGCTCAGCACTGCCATCTGGTAGAGCTCTCGTGACGCCCAGCTTCCCAGGTTTGCTTTTATAGCTGCCTCCTCCATCAGACTGGGGATGTCAGCGGGCTGGCGACAACAGGGGTGAAATCCGTGTGTGGGTCCCCGTACGAACCAGGCAGAGGGGCAGAGCCTCCAAGCTGATGCCCCCTCCCATTCCTGCCCGTTGGCCCTGCCCACTCCCCCCCTTCCCCCCACCCCCAGGGGCTGCCAGTAGGCCATAGGATGGGGAGTTCATGGCCGCACGTGGAGGGTGTGCACGTCTACATGTGAACGCGTGCCTCTGTGTGTGTGTGGGCCCCGCACGTCTCTGCCGTGCCCCCACCTGCGTGTGAACGTGTGCGCCCACATCCCTGTGCACCTATGGGGTGCAGAGCTGAGCCCAGTGCCTGGCTCAGCCTGTCTGCGGGGCCGCCCACCTGAGAAGATGAGCTTCTCCTTCATGATGCTGACGTCCCGGCTGCTCCGGTGCACGGCTGCACTCAGCATGATCTGCTCAGGGTTGTAGCTCCGTATGCCGCCCAGGCGCCACCTGCGGAGACGGCCGTGTGCATTAGGCCTGTCCCCGGGAGCAGGGGCCCTGCCTGCTCCCAGAGCCTCTCTGGGTCTGGCCTGAGGCCAGCGGGGTGCTGGTCCGCCGCACAGGCGGGGCCCAGGGAGAGGCAGAGCTGGGGCTTGAACCGGAGCCCACCAACTCTCAGCCAGGGTTCCCTGGCTGCCTCCTCTGACCTCCGGAGCTTAAGGTCCACTCCCCTTGCCCAGGAAGGTGGTTTGGGCTGGTTTACTTGGTTGGTTCTGCCTCAGGTGTCCCCCACCCCCCACATTATGCACCTGGCTCTCTCTGAATGGGACAAATTTGGGTCGGGGGAGGGCTTAGCAGACATGACTCTGATGACCCACACTGGGGTACACACCCATCTTGGGGAGCCCCAGCTGATGTCTCCTACAGCTCCACTGTCATGACCAGGCTGAGTGAAGCCAGGGGGAAACCCCAGAGGGGAGGTGAAGGAAAGCAGAGAGGTGAGGGGACATGGCCGGGGCCTTGCTCAGAGCTGGTGTGCAGAAAGTTCAGTGCCAAGGGCGTGAGAGTAACTTGGGATGGGGCTGCTGCTACTCTGGAAGAGCGGGGCATGTACTCCCCCACGGGAGGCCAGGCTGGCGTGTTAACCTGCTGATGGCCGAGGCCGGGGTGAGGCCAGGGCTGGGGGTCAAATCAACCAAGTGGGCTGAGAGGTGGGGCCGCACAGGGTGCGCAGGGGCCCGGCAGAGCCAGGCACTGTTTATCCTGCCGCAGTTCCTCTGAACCAGCCCCGAATCCCTGGCCTCTGAACCAAAGACTTGTCCCGTGACCTGGACAGAGGACTCACCAGACCCCCCACTCCCACCAGGAGAAGTGAGGGTCAGCTCGGAAACAACCCAGCCCCCAGGGCGCTGAGCCCTGCTGGGGTGGATGAAGGGAGCCCAGACTCCACAAGAAATCAGTTGTTTCCAGACCGGGTCAGCACGGCAGAAGTGGACAGACAGATGGACAGGCAGATGGGCGGAAGAACAGGGCAGACAGACAAGGGCCAAGCGGGAGGCAGGGGAAAAGGCGGCCTGCGCTCCAGCCAGGCAAGCCCCCTGCACGGCAAGCCCCCTGCACGTGCTGAAGGCCGGCCGCCGGGTCTCTCATTGTCGCTGTGTCCCTGGCACCAGCCTCAGCACCTGCTCTGTGTGGGTGGGTGCAGGTCCCCTAGGTACTTGTTGGCAAGTGAGGGGAAGAATGAGGAAATGACCTTCTCTCCCAGGAGGCCGACAACACTGCCCGTGCCGTGTGTTGAGCTGGTCAGTGAGGCCCCTGACCCAGGAGGGCCCCAGGCACTCCACCAAGGAGAGAGGGCTTGAGTCCCTGAGACGTAAGTCTCATCCTGGGACTTAGCATGGAGCCCAGAAGGAGAGTGTTAGGCCAGGGCTTCTGCAGCCATGCACACTTAAGACAGGAAGCCCAGCCACTGTGGGACCCTCCCCAGGGGAGGGGGGGTCAGACAGAAAGCAATAGAGATGAGACAGAGACAGAGAGAAGGAGTGAAGGGAGAGGCAGACCCCAAGAGGGGAAGGGAGAGACAGGAGTCGGTAGGGCGGGCGTGCGCTGGGCGGCGGGGGAGGCTCTGCAGGCGACACTGGGGGGGCAGGCGCCTGGGCAGAGCCCCCTCCCCAGGGGAAGGTGCGTTGGTGCTGAGAGAGGGCAGGTCAGCCACCTGCGGAAACACTGGCTCCCCATCCACAGAAACAGCAGGGGGAAGGGAGAGCGGAGGGGCACACAGGGCAAGAAGGGGACAGAAGGGAGGGGCCGGGGCCAGGAGGGCTGCTGGGGCGGGAAGGAGGCTCCAGGCGCCCAAGGGGTCTGGGGGGTGGCGGTGAGGGAGCCTGGGCTCCGTGCAGGTTCTCAGAGGAACTGGAGAAAGGGGGGGCAAGGACCAGGGAGAAAGAGGAACAGGAGGAGGAAGACCACACCAGAATTACCTGATCAAGTGATAGCTGTGAGAGGCCAGAGTGCAGCAGAGAGGGGGAGGATGGGGAGAGAGAGGAGGGACATGCGCCGGGTCAGAGCAGTGTGGGACAGAGAGAGAACGTCAGTCAAGAACAAAACCCCTTCCCGTGGGTTCATGGCTGGGCTGGGACCCCAGCCTGGCCCTGATCCCCCACCCTCCACCTCCCCACTGCAACCACTGTGCCAGCTGCTGTCCTGAGGGGTGGGAGGTCTCTAGCGCGGCACAACCGAGTGCTGAGTGCGGTGGGGTCCCCTGGCCCCGGGCAACAACAGGTGAGGAGAAGAGCCAGCCACAGGGAGCTGAAACCCGGCAGAGTCCACACGGCAAACCCAGCCATTGGGAGCCCTCCTCCCCTGCACAGGCCGCCTGGTTGGGCCTCCTCCTGGCCCAGGGCCCAGGAGGGGCTTCCCCTGGCTGCGGTGGGTCCAGGTCTGTCTTGGGGCAGGGAAGGCCGAGGAAGGAGGTCAGAGCCTACTCACTTCTGGAGCACGAAGATGCCAACGATGAGGGTGAAGGAGATCAGGTCGGCGATGACCCACATGAGGCAGTACTCGTCCGGGGGCTGTGGACAGATGGCCGAGGCAGCTTCAGTCACGGCCGGCCCACACTGGGCTCCAGACTGAGGGCCCAAGGGCGGGAGGACCCCTGTCACCGCTGGGGAGGGGCAGGGGAAGGCCGGGAGGCACCGGCACCAGGCACCGTGGGCCCAGGTCAGGGTCCCGTGCGCATGCGCACAGCACAGGGGGCGCCTGCGTGGTGCTCGGGCGGAGGTGGTTTGTGTTGAGCCTGTTCACTCGCTCTCAGGGGGTTCGTGTGCTTCGGGGGGCTCAAAGCAAGAGGTGAATGATGAAGGACAAACAGGTGTGTGCGAGGGCTCAACGTGGCCTGCAGGCGTGTGTGTAAGACTGCGTGTGCTGTGGGGGCTCCCCCTCCAGGGTCAGCGGAGAGGGGCCTGGCGGGCAAACCGCCGGGACCTCAGGTGGACCGGGGAGGAGCGGCGGGGGCCTGCTTGCTGTTGGTGAACTCCCGTGACCCCGAAACTTGGGTGTGCTCTCGCTGCCGCTGCCACAGGGCTGAGCGCCCGGAGGTTTTAAAGGACAGTGGGCAGGTGGATGGACTTCACCACCCACAACTTAGACCTGATTCCCTGACCCTGCCTCCCCAGAGGGGCCCCAGCGGGCGCCAAGGCGGGAGATCGAGGGCCCCCCACTCCCACCAGCGGCAGAGCTGGGACTGGAGCTCAGGCCTGTCCGCGGGAGCTCGGGTGCCCAGTTGAAAACTGGCCCGATTCACCGTAATCCCGGCAGATCTTAATGTTCCTGTACTTGTCCTGTTACCCTCTATGTATAATGACTTCCCCTCCCTTGAAACAAAATGTAACAACACCCAACCAAACCCGCAGTCGTTTACTAGACGTTCTCGCCTCGTGCCTCAGGCCTGTCCCCTCCATGGGCTCCCCCCAACCTGGGACCTCACTGGGGGCCCCAATTGTGGAGCCTGCACCTTCCCGGGTGCCATTGGCAGCTCTCCGCACCGCCCAGGTGCCCTCTGCCCCCCAGACACCCCTCCGACTCACCATGATCCAGAGTGGGGAAGGCACCTGGGACAGGGTGTGGGAGTTGTCGGAGGTGACCGAGGGGACCCCCGCACACCACAGCAGGGAGAAGAGCCAGGGCGCATTGACCGTGTAGAGGTTCACACTCAGGTTCCAGGACGCGTAGTCCCTGTGGGGAAGGAACGGGCTGGTCAGCCCCCGGGCCTGGGCCCCCGGGAAGCCTGTAGAGCACAGCACCATCCTCACAGCTGCCCCCAGAGGAAGGCCTCCGCACCCCCAGAGCACGGGACACAGAGACAAGCCCATGTGTGCCTCACGCTCTCGGCATCTCCTCTTTGAACCAGGAGCCCCTGTGCTTCCAGCCCTCTGCCCGACTGTGCGGGTGTGCAGGTGTGTGTGTATGTGTGTGTGTGTGTGTGTGTGTGAGAGAGAGAGAGAGAGAGAGAGAGAGAGAGAGAGGCGGGATGGAGGGACTCGGCCTTGCCCTCCCCTGGGTGAGCTGGAGGAGGCGGCGGGCACCTGAGCTCCTGGCGGGACACCTGAGTGTAGCGCAGGTTCAGCCGCTGGATGTGACCTCTCCGCAGGCTGGCGGCCGCCTCCTTAGAGCCTGACGTCTGCTGGAAGCCTGGAGCCACCTTCCGCACGAAGGGCCTCTGCCTGTTGGGCAACCACATGACCTGCAGGCAGAGAGGGGGTGGCCTCTAATTTCTTATCTGCAAAATGGGTTTAGAGTGCTCCCCCCGCCAGGTCCGAAAGCACCTGCAAGGGTTGGGAGGGACAGGCCCTAGCACTCGGTGAAAGCTCGCACATAATAGTCATCATGGGTGCGGCTCGGTCCCAGCTGAGGCTGTGAACTGTTTTAACCCAGGGAGCTTCCCTCTCCACCCCAGTCACGGTGAGCCTGATGGCTTGAACGGCAGTTACTCTGCCCGAGGCCGCCAGCACCGAGCACATGTCACACATTGGTGTGACAGTCCTCCGACCTCCAAATACTACACCCCAAGGCTGTGGACACTGCTTCGTCAAAGTAACAGTACTTCATAGAACCTGGACTTGCTCCTGCCCTTTGTACACTTTGAAGGACTTTCTTGTTCCCCCCTTGTTCCCTTTGTGATCCCATTTTACAAATGAGGAAGCTGAGGTTTGGACAGGGGCATGGGGAGTTTATGCTGGAGTCCTGCTCCAGCCAGGCCCTGGCTGCCTGGGGCAGCGGGGTTCTGAGGCTGCGCTCCCCAGGGGGCGTGGCTGGGCGGGGCATGGCTGGGCGGAGCCGGGCGGGGCGAGGCGGGGCGGGGCGGGGCTGCGGAGCCTCACCTGGTGCTGGGGGAAGCCTGAGCGCAACACGGCCTCCAGTGTGACGTTGAGGAAGCTGCTGCGGTAGGGATGCTCCCTCGGGGGGTCGCGCAGGTTGAGCAGCAGAGTGGCATTGCCCTTGGCCAACTCCAGGAGCTCAGCTAGGCTGCAGATGGACTGGTTCTGGACCTCCCTGTAGTCGGAGGGTGACAGGGAGCTGGCCGTCCAGAAGGGGTCCGTCTGGCAGAGACAATGACACATGTGGATGCCTCACCAGCCTTTTAGGGGTCTACACGTGCCTTCCTGGCTACCGAGCGTGGAGACCCCTGAGCTGCCAGTGTCTACTGAGGTGTGCGTGCCTAGCAGAGTGATGGCTGTGGCCTGTGGGGGCTCTTGGAGACCCCAGCCCTAACCTCTGTGCCACACCCTGCTTACCCAAAGAATTATTTGCTCGGAATGTCTCCCGGACCCCAGCATGTTTCTCCTTTAGTAACACTTCTGAGCAGAGAACCAGCCTCCCTCTAGAGTTTTACAGAATTGACAATTTTAACTGTTATCAGCATCAGCTTTTTCTGGTGAGGGAGTCAGGACCAGCGCAAGCAATGACAACAACGACATTCGGGCTGCGGTGGTGGGAGCCCAAGGAGGCTGCTAAGCAGCCTGGCCGTGAGGGAGGCTGGGGGTGTGGGGGTCACCTGAGCGATGGCCACCCGGCTCTCTCACTCTGGAGGGTCCCCGCCCATGCTTTCCAAGCCCAGGAGTGGGACAGCTGCAGCCAGACCTTCAGGAACCACCGGCCGGCGTTGAGCCTCTGCAGGACAGTCCAGTTGAGCATGGAGGCGGGCCGGCGGGCGAGCTCCGGGAACCGCTCCTCCACGTTGGTGGTGCGCCGCAGGGTGGTGTCATGCATGAGGAAGGGCACGCCGTCCAGGCTGCAGGGGGGTGGCGCCGCCGGGTCACTGCCTGTCCCCGCCTCTCACCTGCCCACAATAATCAGCGCCCTCCACTCCATTTACACCGACCCACCCTCTCTGGGCCTCCGGTTCCCGGCTGCACAGGGAGGGCAGTAGGCTGGTGGGCGACTCCTTCGCGTTCTCTGTGAGGGTCAGGTGGGGGTGGGGATTGTTGAGGAAAGAGGGTTGGGCCTATTCTCTTAGCAACCTTGGAAGGTAGGCGCTACTGTATTTGATAATGGGGAAACTGAGGCTGGGAGAGGGAAGTACCTAGCTCAAGGTCCACAGCCAGTAAGGGGTGGATCCTGGCTTGGAACCCAGACCATGCGATGCCACGATGAGAACGGTGCAGATGCAGGTTCCTTTGACCAATCTTGGCCCCCACCACCCTGGTCCACCCTGCTGCAGCTGTCTGAGCCTCTATAGTGCCTGAGCGTGAAATGGTAAAGGCACCCGAGTGCCCCTTCCTCGGGCATTTCGCCACCATCTACTAGAAAGGTTTGACAAATACATATTTCTAGGACATCTGCCCTGGGGAGGCGTTCTCACATAAGAGGTGCCCTGGTCCAGGATATAACCTGTGCATGCCCACAGCGCAGCCCTGCTCCTCTGCCCTTCCCAGGGGTATCTGCTGTGAGATGGGGGTGGATTCTTCCTCCCCGTTGTACTAGGATGCACATACATCTACATGTCGAAAACGTGCAAGTCATTTTAATGTGGTCTTTGAAAATGCCATCGACACCACAATGAGTGATCGCTCTGCAATGTGCTGCTTTCACTTGTCAGAGTGTTTAAGCTCCATCTTTCTGCGATCTGGTCCTCCACAGGGATCTGGTCTTTCCTTCAAGCGGATTTGTGGCAGACTCCGGGTCCCAGCCCTCCCTCCCTGCTTGAACCAAGAGCATCTGTTCTGTTCTTTATTTTACATCCTGGAGTTTGGCACGAGATTCACAGTCATGAACACGGTGCCCAGCCTGCAGTGGACCATTGAGACTCTGCCCTCCCACCCTGAGGCTCTGGGACCTGAAGTTTCTCCAGCAGCGACCCAGAGGTGGATGCCATGGGGACGGGACACAGTGCCATCCTTCCAACCCCAACACCTACCTGATGGTGACGTCAGCTTGTAGCCCGTACAGCTTCTGCTCGAGGGCCTTCCGGAAGGACATCAGCGTGTGCTCTGGGGCCAGCTGTGGGGACAGGGTGGTGAGGGAAGGGCTCAGAGTTAGCTGATGTGCACCCCCCCAGCCAGTGAAACTCCCATGTTGAGCCTGGCCCTAATTCCAGCTCCTCCAAGAAATAGCTGTGTGACCTGCCCCCCCCCCCACCACGGCTTCTCTGAAGCTCAGTTTCCTCATCTGTCCAGTCGTGCCTGCCTCACAGGTTTTCTGGGTGGGAGCGGTGAGTGTTGATGTCTGTAAGTGTGGGGGTGGGAGGGCTTGTCTATGGTCCTCTGCCTCTTGGGCTGGGCTGAATGCCAAGTTCTCCCCTTGTTGTACCCCGAGTCCAGGTTGAGATCCCGGAGGGAGGAGAGAGTAGACAGGCGGCAGTTTCAAGGGGCGACCAGTTTCCTTGTCTGTACAGAAAATGACATGCCCATCTCTGAGACTGTCACATGGGTGAAAAGGCCCAAGCATGTTGCCTGATAAACAGTAAGCGCTTAATAACTAACACCTGCTGACCCCGTGGCATCCATGTCAGAAGAGCTGTTTGTAGCCCTGGCTCTACCATTTAACCAGCTTTGTGACTTGGGGTGCATCTCTTCCTCCTCCAGACCACAGTTTCCTCACTGGCCCCTTGAGAGAGTATATTCACTGTTCTCTGAGGGTCCTTCCACTTGGGGAGGGTGGAGGTTCTGTCTCCCCAGTTCTCTGGTCTGAGTTCCCTGTCATACTCTTTGCTGCCACTGGGGGTCAGCACCATACCAAGGATTGGGCTAGAACAAGGAGCCGGGTCAGGAAGCGGGGCGGGCAACAACTCCTGACTGTGAGGGGATGGGGTGGAAAGGGTCCCCCTTCTCTCTCCCTCTGCCCATGCTGTTCTCTGACGTGTAACACACCCCCCTCTGGGAGGCAGCCAGGCACGGAAAGGGCTTTGGAGCTGAGGAGAAACAATTCCATTTCCCACTCCTAGGTCATCACCTCACTTTTTGGAACCTCAGTTTTTTTATCTATAAAGTAGGCTAATATTCCCAAGCTCATAGGTGAGAAAACAGCCAATAGAAGTCTCTATAACAACAGTTTCTTTCTTCCCCTTTTCCTGGTGCAGAGCTGCCTTGGGGAATGCACCCCCTGTCTCCCGGTGAAGCCAGTCTTGTGAGGCCTCACCCAGAAGTGGAACAGGGCCACAGAGGCATCTAGAGAGAGGTGTGGGTTTCCCATCCATTTTGTCTCTAAAGGTCCTGTGGCCTGGCCTCTCCGAGTGACCGCCCAAGAGGTACCACTGCTCCCTCCTGCCTGGGCTGGGGCTGCAGAGGGTAGACTGTGGGTAGACACACAGGAAGTATTTGGAAGGAGTGAAGTCTCTCTCTGGAGGCTTTTTTCAACTGAAGTCTCCCTGTATCAGGTGCTGGCCTCCTAGAGAGAGGGGCGTGGAAAGTTGGCCCTCCCTGGCCAGTCTCCGGACTCCAGGAAGGCCCCGGGAAGTGTTTGGGGTTCCAGGGTGACTTCTTAGTCTCCATCTCTGGGCTCCCACTGCCTCCAGCCTCAGCCCACGTGTGAGCCTGCTGTCAGGAGTATGCATGTGTGTGTGTGTATGTGTGTGTGAGGAGGGGTCGAGGGGTCACAAACTCAAGTGGGCAAGCCACTGTGGTGAAGAGGCCAAGATTTGGAGTGTTAAAGTGTAAATGCACACACACCCAGGCACACTTGCATAGGGAGGACACACCCAGGGCACAGGGACACCATCTCCAAGACAGGGGTGTGCACTTGGGCTCACCGCACAGATGTGTGGACTCAGGACCTCCCACAGAGAGACACGCACAGACCTCCGTGCATTCCCAGGGACATTCCCAGGGACACATGGCGGAGTTGTGCCCACACCTTTGCCAGCCCCTCAGAAAACACCCTGAGAAGTCAGTCAGCCAGATGCATAATGTGTGGATTCTATAGAACAGATAACTGTTTCTTCAACAATAAACAGCATATGGAAAAAAGGGGGAAGGGGGTCGTTACAGCCTCAAACACACTTAGGAGACATGTCAACCAGAAGCACTGGCTGGACCCCATTTGGGCTCTGATTTTTAATGACTCAACTGTAAAGAGGTATTTTTGAGAATATAAAGGAAAACTGAGTATGGATTCAATATTAGATAACATAAAGGAATTGTTATTAATTGGGTTGGTTGTCATAAAAGCATTGTGGTTATGGCCATGTTAAAAGAAAAGTCCTGTGCGTTAGAGGCACGTCCAGAAGTATGTGTGCAGAGAACGGTACGATGTCTGAGACCCACTTCAAACTGTTGCTGCAGGAAAAGGCAAGCAGGGAAGGAGATGAGCTGAGAGTGGCAAGGCACCGAGAGATGCGGGAGGTGGGACTGGATTCATCTCGCTCTTCTCCATTACACTGCTCTTCCCATGTCTGTGATTGTTGGAAAATTTCCCACTAAAAAAATAATCCACGCTGGGCCACCCTGCCACTTCCGCTTGCTGCCTCCTTCCCTACTGCCACCCTGCCACTTCCGCTTGCCGCCTCCTTCCCTACTAAGCGCCCCCTCCTGTCCCCTGGCCTACGGAGCAGGTGGGTGGGTATCTGGGTCACGGAGAAAAGGGGGGCCCCACCACCGCCAGGAGACGCTGTGCTTCCACATCCTCACTGTAGACAGGTGACCCCCGAGGCACACAGGCAGCATATGGCAAAACGGGACCCCAAATCCAGATCCCTCCGACTGCAAAGCCAAGGCCTTTCCAGCTGGTTGCCTTCAGGAAGTGATGTGACCAGAGGGGATGTGGTGGGAGGGCACCAGAGCCCAGCTCGGCACAGGTCTCTGGGTGTCGCCTGGAAAGTGGGCATAACGCCCACCACACGCAGTGCGGGCAGGCCCTTGGGGTGATTCACAGCCACATCAGACTCAACACCTCCGTTTAAAAGTTTATGAGGCCACCTTGACTACCCTGAATTCAATACCATAGCACTCCCAATCCCTGTGATAACCAAGAAAAAGCTCTCACGAAGACCCCCAAGCACCCACTAGCGGTGGGGAGTGGTACTGCCTCTGTTTAGAACCCAGGTTCAAGGTGAGGAAGCCTCTATCCAGAGAAGCTGGGGGAGGGGGGGGGGTTAGGCCCAAGATAACAGGAATGTCGATCCACCGGGCTCAGAGCTGGGCACTTCTCGCGGCCAAAGTCCCGCCTCACGGGGCCCTCCGTCCCAGGCAACCTCATTATCTCAGGGTACAAGATGAGGGAGCTGGCACAGAGAAGATGGAGTCGGGCTCCCATAGCTGCCAAGACGCCGAGGAGGCCTGGCTCTGGAGCATGCCCGTTGGCAGGGGGCGGGGCTGAGGGGGGAGTCTACCTACTGCAGGGGCCCGGGGCATCAGTAGTAAGGGGCGTCCCTGGCTTTGACTCCTCTCTCTCCCTCTCAGCACAGCCCAACTTTCACGGTCTTCCCTTTAGCGGTGGGCTCTGCGCTTCACCCGCCTCCCCTGCCCCCACGGCCGGGTGCGTTCTCCTGCTGCCCGGCCTGTGGGCCCTGCTCTCCAGCCCACACCCAGCAGTTCTCTCCTCTGGACCTTCTTAACCCACAACCTGGCAGTGTCTGGCCCTGGCCCAAACCTTCCTGTGTCCTTCCAGGGCCCTCGTGACAGAAGTCGCAGCGTTTTACAGGATGCCTTCAGGGATCATCAGGATTCAATCCCACCTAAGCTCTCCAACCTTTTCATTAGTCCTTCCCATGTACCCTCCCCCCAAAAGGGCTAAACACTGTTGTTATTATTATATTACATGTATTATATTCATTTCCTTCCAAGTTCCTCCCTACAGGAAGATAGGTCTTTGCTTAGCTCCCCCTAGAATGGCAGCTCTGCTCCCCCACCTCACCCCCACCCCTGTCCGTTAGGGCCCTCAGGTGGCACTCACCATGGGGGCGCCTCGGTGGCCAATGAGGGCGGGCTTGGGGCCCAGGTCCTTCTTCTCCATGATGCAGGGAGAGGAGAAGGTGAGAGGGGCCAGGTAGAGGGCAAACACCACAGCAAAGAAGATGCAGAGGATGGCCATCTGGGAGGCTGCAGGCACAGGCCGTGAGCACCGCCTGCTGAGTGTTCGGCTCCCACCAGGCCCGACCGTGAGCCCTGGGCAGGGGAACCCCTCTTCCCTCTGCCTGCCAGGACCCAGATGCTCTGAAGGGACTCTGTACTAAGGGCAGCCCCCATCCTTGCTGGAAGGTGACCCTGGCCCCTAAGTCACACACAGACACCCCAGGCAGACGCAGAAGGGGAAACAGGCACAGCCGACTGAAGCTGCAGGCCCCATGGAGCCGCCCACACAGAGCACGAGGGCCCCACCTCATCCCAGGAAACACCTAGGTGAGGGCAGGGCAGGCTGGCCTGGTACTTGGAGGGTACCGTCGGGGGATAGGTCCTGCCCAGTCGTACTTACAGGAACGCTCCGCTCGGGCAAACTGTCCTGCCACGATCCAGGAGAGTGCCGTGAGGGCGGCCAGGGCCCCCATGTGCAGGAACGGAGCTGTGCCCTTGGGTGGAAGGGGCAAGAGGGCCATTGACTCCCAGCCATGCCAGGCCCTCTGGCCACCAACATCCTGAGGGCCCATCTCTACCCACGGGGCAGGGGACTCTCAGAGGAAACTGGGAGTTCAGGCACCCTGGGCTGCAGTGTCCTCCCTGCCTCTGACTAGTTACGTGACCTGGACCCCCTCCCTGCCCACGCTGGGTCTTGGTCTGAGCAAATGGAAGTGATAAAAAAAGCTGCTTCCTTCTTTTGAGGGTTTGGGGAAAGCAGCGGCCCCCCACACACACTCACCTGCAGGGAGATCAGGAGCACCTCCCACTCGTCCTCCCACAGCTGGGCCACGGCCGACATGGCCACCACTGTGGACACCAGGATGACCACCAGCCCCATCTGCAAGGGGGGAGAGCCACCAGATGGGGTCAGAGCAGGTGTGGCTGGATGGCCCGAGGGTCCCCCGTGTGTCTGAGAGAGGGAGGGCAGAGGCAGAGAAGCAGAAGGAGGTGCTGAGGGGAAGAAACGGAGAGTGCAGAGGCAGACAAAGCCGGGAGGGGAGAAGCAGGAAAGAGAAGGTGGAGACCCAAAGAAGCCAGAGACAGCCAGTCAGAGATAACAGTGAGACGGGCAGGAGGAGGCAGGCAGACCCAGTGACAAAGGACCAAGGACCAAGAGAAACAGGAGGATGGAGAGGTGGGAGGGAGCTGGAGCAAGGCCCAAGTGAAGCCCCAGGCACAACCCCCTGCGGGTGTGAGGGAGACACCCAGCAAACTGCGGGGCAGGGCTCTCCTGGGCCCAGCAGGTCACCTCTGAGGCCTCCCTAGCCCTGCCAGCAACTGTTGGGTGAAGGGTAACTTGCCTGGCTCACAGGGGCAGGAGACAGCAGCCAGTTCCCCTGCAGGAGCCTGATACCCTGCCCAGCCAGGATCACAAGAAGCCCTTCAGGCTGGAGCAGGGGTGAGGGAGGGGCCTACTGCACCGGCCCCACCCCCAGGTCCCATCCCCCCTCACAGAGGCTGCCTCTAAACCCCAGCCCCTGGGCTTCCAGCCTCGAATGTGTCAGTTCGGCTGCCCTCACAGCCACCTACCAGAGACTCAAACACAGGTCTGACCGAAGACTAGATGGAACCTTCGGGGGACAGGTGGGATCTGAAATACCTCGTGGTAAGCAAGATGAGCCCCCAAACCAAGCCTGGTGTCTGGCATCTTGGTCTCCAGCCCCACACCCCCCACCCCTTTGAGCCCTGGCACTCACTCTGCCCACCTCTTCTGCAGGTCCAGGCAGGCCTCCCTAAGGCCCAGGCCCATGCCACCTCTCTCCCCTAAAGCCCCTGCCCTGCTCTAACTGGCCAGCCGTGGCCACCACACGCTGCCCGACTGACTTCCTCTGGCCTGCCCGCCAGCCGGCGCCTCTGCCAGCCAGCAGGGCCCGCACCCCCTTCTCTTCCTGCAGGGCCTTTCCTAGCCCCCTCTCGGCAGCGTCCTGAGAACCCTCCAATGACACGAACAAGCTCTAAATCAGTTTCTAGATGGTCAGGGCAGAGACGGGGGCTGATCCATGGTGGTTCCCTGCCAGGCAGGGAGGATTCACGCTTGCCTGGGATGAAGTTTTCCTCTGCGGGTTTGCCATTCCAGCCCACCAGTCTGGAGACTAATGTTCCAATAAGAAACAGTAATAAGGCTGAGATGGGCAGGGGCCTTTACAGACTGCGACATGGCTGCCCGGGGAACACAAAATGCAGGTCCACAGAAGGCTGTGGGTGCCTGAGTGTGTGGGAGGCACTTCCCGGTTTCCCCCTGTGTGTTCTCCTCACGTCCCAGGGAGGTATCGTCTTCATTTCATGCGCAGAGAAACTGGGCTCGGGGACCGGAAGGGTTTGCTTGGTCATGAGGTTTCGCGGGGGTGGATCTGGACCAAACCCCATTCTGCCTGTCTCAGAGGTCTCGCTCCAGGGGCGGGATAATGAGCCGTTTCCTGGCCATCCCTGAGAACCCCCGTCCATGTGCAGGTGCTCTGGCCCCAGCTGCCCCCACCAGGCCGGCCGTGGGCACAGCAAGTATCTCTGAAGGGCTGTTTCTGGGAGCATCTTATTGCAATATTTAATTGCTAGTGGAAACACTTGCAATAAAACGAATTCCCCCTAATCCTAATGCAATTAAAAATTTTATTATGAGTTTTTCAGTTGCCATAGTGGTGCCATGATCAGTAGTGCTGCTGCAGTGTTGGTGTCGGTGGGATTCCCCCACACACATCCTTAGGCCACAGTAACAGTGCCCACAGAGGGGCCAGCATCCTCAGATCTGACTGGAAAGGAGAAGCTCCACCCAGAAGGCACAGGGGCAGCCCACTGTCCTCTGATGTCACCGTCTTTGGTCTTCCATGTTGGGGAGATTGTGTTTTTTTATGTCAGCGGGAAGGATAGGGACATAGGAGGAATACCCATTTGTTCCGTGAGCCTTGCCTGGGTGCTGGGACCCTTACCTAGGTGCTGGGACCCAGCCTTGCAAAGGTGCCACAGGTTGGCCTCTTGAGGGCAGCTGGCACCTGGGTTCTGTGGCAGATGGTTGGCCAGAGCTCAGGGACACACAGGAGTATATCCATCAGTCAAAGCCCAGCCCTGCTGTCTGCTGAAGGAGGTTGACCTTGCAAAGTGTGTTTTCTGAGCTGTGAAATGGGGAAAGCGAGGGCCTACCCTAGTGGGTATTGGGGAAGATGAATGAGAAAATGCAGCCCTGCCTGGTGTGGCTCAGTGGATTGAGTGACAGCTTGCAAAGCAAAAGGTTGCCAGTTTGATTCCCACTCAGGGCACATGCCTGGATTGTGGGCCATGTCCCCAGCAGGGGCCACTTGAGAGGCAACCACGCACTGATGTTTCCCTCTTTTTCCCTCCCTTCCCTTCTGTCTAAAAACAACATAAATTTAAAAAATTTTTTTAAAGAAAGAAAATTCAAGTGATGTGCTTAGCACAGTGGTTGGCACCAAAATAGTAAATGCTTACTAAGTGTCAGTGGTATAATTTTTTAAAGTGGGCATAGGACCAGATGAACAGAATTATGACGAGGAATAAATGAAGCACTCTGTGGAAAGTGCCTGACACACAGAGTACGTGCCCAATAAATGAAGTCAGGGCTGTCGTGACGAGCCCAGTGCCCGACGCGCCCTGAGCAGCTCTGCTCCAGCCTCCCCACCCCAGGGCCTCGGGAACCAGAGACTCTCAAAGTACAGATCTTGGTTAAAACGTAGTATAAAACTGTAGTATTTAAAGCAGTATGATATTGCTATAGACTAGAGAGATAAAAGAAAGTAAATAAAAAGCTTAAAAACAGATCTAAATAGATTTTTTAAAATTAGAAAAAATTAGTATTTGATAACAGTGGCATCACCAATTAGAGGGAAAAGGACAGATTACTCAACAGAGAGTCAGGAACCATGGGAAGCCATCAAAAAACAAAGAAAGACCATACTATACCTAAAAGTAACTTCCAAAAAGATAAAAATGTTAAGTGTTAAAAAAGTAGAAACATGTAATTATCAAATAATACCATAGAGAGTTTTCTTTTAATCATGGAGCGGGAAGGACTTCTGACACGAAAGCCGGGTCATGAAAAGAGATGACATGTCCACACCCTTAAGGATAAAAAGTTCCCATGGCAAAACCATGACCGGCAAAGTCAAAGGGTGAGTGACAGAGGAGGAAGAATTATTCACAGTTCATCGGCCCAGGGGCCAAATTTGCAGATCTAGACAGAGCTCCTGCAAAGGAATAAGCCAAAAGCCAATCCTGTAGCAAAAAGGGCAAAAAATATGAAGAGACTGTTTATAGAAAGAAAATGCAAATGACTCAGGCACATGAAAGATGCTGACTCTAACTCATCATCAGGGAGACGCAAACCCAAACTGCATCGAGGGACTATTTTCGCCCCTCAGTCGGCACCAGTGGAGACACCCTCAGACACTTCACGGGCAAGGCTGATTATCTGTAAGCGCAATCACAGATTGCTGAGGGAGCACGAACTGGTGGCACTTAGCAAGGAGGCCATTTGATAAGAACTATCACAATTACTAAAGTACATGCTTTTTACCCAGAATTCCCCACCCAGGTCCCTGCTACACATCCTGGCAATGAATTAAAAGCAAGTGGGGTGTCATCAGGCCCATCGAGGGGGGCTAGCTAGATACCGCAGGACCCGGGGTTACTAACCCGGACACAGGCATAGGCGCTGGGCGCCAGCGGGCAGCTGTCAGTGCACGGAGGGGAGGCGCTCCGGGAGTGTCGGTTGTGTGCGAAATGGAGGGTACAGAGGCTTGTGTGTGAATAAAGGCAAGAAGGAAGTGTACATGTATATTTGTACATACTTAAAATACTCTGGAAAGATGGTAGGAAGATTTACATTGTGTACTTTTTTTGTACCTTTCTAATTTTGAAAATTGGCTAAAACACGAAAAGGATTACTTAGAATATCCCGATCAAATAATAGAATCTTGGGAACTGAACAGGAAAGTGTCCAGCCCCTACTTGAAAACTCTGAGCCCCAGAGGGCTAGCCCCCTCCTGGTGCAGTGGGCCCTGCCTGGAATGACCTTCCTCGTGCTGAGCCTGAGCTCTTGGTTGGGGGCGGTTGGGGAGCAGAGGGGAGAGGAAGGCAGGGCTGGCACTGGAGCTGGCCCTGGCATAGATGAAGGGATCTGACCCCCCTCCCAGGAGAAGACCCCCTGCAGTGACCTGCCGCCCCTGCTGGCTTGGTGCCTCGGGAGGCCTCTCCACGAGGATCACGCAGGTGTGACCTGCTGAGATGCAGGCATGACCTAGAGGAGGTGACCATGGTGTGTGCCAGCCCCACCCAGGTGCCATCTGGTGCGGTTCTTTCAAGTGTCAGTTGTGCAGCTGGGAGAAAAAAGGGCTTCACAGAGGGAACTTCACGAGCCCAAAGGAGACCTCCAGATAGAGTGACAAGCAGGAGGAGGGTGGGACACCGGGGCTGCTGGCTGCTCTTCACTGCCCCCAAGACTTCAGTCACGCAGGCTGACTCCCCAGCTAATCTCAGAGGTCCCCCTGGATGCCCATGGGCCCTCCCGGTACACAGCTCACTAGGTCTTTCTCCCAGTCCCTGCCCCATGTCTCCCTTGAAGCTGGAAGTGAGCCCCTCCCCTCAGAGTCACTCTGGACGCATCTCATGGGCTCTTAGCTATTTCTGGACATGTCTGCCCCTTCCTAAATGGCATGCCCACTCTGAGCCAGGCTCTGGGGGAAAAAGGGATGGCCTAGCCCTCCCTCCAAGGCCCAAGAGGGAAGGGCTCTCTTCTGGTCAGTTTTGCGCCACCACTGTGTCCACTGGGGCCTCCAGAAGAGCAGCATCAGGCACACACTGTACATTCGGCACCATGTACGCACTGAGGTTCTGAGATTCTGAAGCCATGAAGCCTCCCTGCTCTGGGCCCAGCCCTGAGGGGGGCACTGGGGACGCAGAGACAGGAAGAGCCCATTCTGGCCTGCAAGGAGCTCCCAGCTGGGAGAGTCGGGGTCGGGGAGCCAGATGGAAATGGACAACACAGGCGCTCAAGGCCATGGTAGGGGGCCTGCAGGGGCTGGGGCAGCCCACGCAGCCTGTGCAGGTAGAAGAGAACTGAGGAAAGGTCCAAAGGACAGAGAAAGGGAGGCAAGAGAGAAGAGGTAGAGAAGGGACAGGCATGCTGGCAGGGCCTGAGACGCCTCATGGGGTGAAAGCAGGGGTGACCGTCCCATGACGGCAGTTGGGAGACATCAGCGGGGGCCTTAATGGTGGGTGGGGGCGTGTGGGTCATCCTGGAGCAATGGGAGTGTGGGAAGGGCTTTAAGCCGGGAATAACATGACTGGGTCAGAGTTTCAGAACGAGCTCACTGAGGAATGAAGAGGCGGAGACTCTAGACAGAGCCCAGTGCAAGGGCTGGAGCCATGACCCGTGCTGCTTGATTGCATGGCTGTGGGGTTAAGATCCTGGATCCTCCACTTACTAAGCAGGAGGCCTTGGGCAAATGACTTAACCTCTTTGTACCTCAGTTTCCCTAGCTGCAAAATGAGATGACAGTGCCTGCATCACGGGGCCGCTGTGAGGGTTCAGTGAGTTAATGCGGGGCAGGCTGTGAGCGCTCAGTGTTAGCTCCCGGGGCAGCCACAGTCATGGTCCAGAGGAGGGGTGATGTGTCCTGGCTCTTCCTCTGCTGCTGAGGCCTCCAGCCTCCCCCTGTCAGACCTCGCGGAGGCGGCCCTTACCTTGTGCAGCCAGTGCAGGTTCATCTGCTGCCCCACGGCGATGTGACACAGTGCCAGCACCTGAAGAGGGGCCCACGTGTGACTCAAAGTTTCCCACCAATTCCCCAGACACCCTTCTTCCCAAAGCCTGGCTCTGATCAGCCAGCAAACCCTGCTGGTTGGCGATGGGTAGGCCCGGCCCAGCTCAGCCCAAGCCTGGCCGCCTCCCAAAGTATTTCAGGCCTCCAGCTCCTCCTCTAGGATTTCTCCCTCAGGAGGTCACTAGGAACCTGCTGCGCTTGAACTACTCAACGAACATTTTAGGAGTTCCAGGCCCCAGGAGGCTGAGATACATTTGAACCTTGTCCCCAAGGAGCCCCCAGTTCAACCTGGGGACTGACCTGCATCTGAGGGAACAGAGTAGTGGGAACAGGAACCAGAGCAGGAGTTCCTCTTTCTCACAGAAGGGAAAGTCTTCAGCGGGGCCTCAGAGCAAGACAGCTCTCCCTGGGGTGCAGGGGGAATACTCCAGGGTGAGGTGAGAGCAAGGGGACCTCCCACCTTGAAGGAGCTGAGCCCCTGAAGTGCAGCAGCCCAAGAGATGGGAAAAGCCTGCTTCCCCCCTTAGACCAGGGTGGCCCCCCACCATCAGCCCTGCACGGGCCAGGTCTCCCTTCCCCGAGAGCAGGGCCGGCGCCACATACCAGGAGGCCTGCGATGTAAGTGAAGGCAGTGGCTGTGGTCATGAGGATGGGCATGGACCAGTCGCTCCAGTAGCCCATGCGGTTGTAGAGGTACCTGAGGAGGAGAAGGCCCTGGGGTCAGACCTCCGCCAGGGACCAGGCCCGGAGCCGGGCCCCGCCCACTCTGAGAGGTGTTACTGTTTCCTTAAGCATCCGTCAGGCCTGTCCGGGCTCAGGTGGACACCTGGCATGCCGAGAGTGTAGAGAAGAAAGCGACAATCCCCACAGTCCTGCCCAGAAATAGCCAGTTCCCGAACTGGGCTGACTTGTCTTCCGTGGGCGTCCCCCACGCTTGTCTGTTTGTGCGATCGGCAGAGCCGGGGCCGCCGCACGCAGGCAGCACTCCGGCCGAGACCGGGCTTCGGAGGGAGGTGCGCTCGGGTTCAGCGCCCACGGGTTCAGCGCCCACCTGCCTCTCACCGGCCTGTAGGCGCCTGGGCAGGTGACAGGTTTCTCCAATTCTAAAACGCCATCCACTGTGACACTCATCTCAATGTCAGTGTTGAAATGTAAAAATAAGGGGTCTCGGAATTGATAAAATGCCCTTCATAGGGTGTCCTGGGGATGAACTGGGCGGGGGGGGCACGTGGTAAGTAGTCGATTATCTCCTAATTAACACGGGCATTTACTGAGGTCAGTGAACATCTGGGGATGTGTAGTTTCCCAGGGCCCCATGCAACTGAGTTAGCACACCACATGTAGTCAAACTCCTACTGATGGCAATTCATCATTTCCAGTTATTTGCTGTTAAAACTAACACAAAAAAGAAATTTTTGCACATATCTTTCCATGTTAGTAATCATTTACTTAGGATAGACTCCTACAAACAGAATTGCAGGGCTGAAGGGAATGAACTTCAAAGGCGCCTGGCGCCTGCCTTCCCCAGCCCTCACCCTCCGGTGCCAGAAGCAGATCTGCCGCCTGAAGGCCACTCACTGGGTGCACTCTTCTGCTGCACAGCTGGTGGGACCGCGGTCCACAGAGGGGTGGCCCTGCTCCTGGGAACTACTTTTAAAAAATGTTCTGTCTCTCACTGGTCAGGGAGCCTCGTGGTCCCGCACAGCGAGGCCCCAACAGCCCCTCCTGCCCTGACAGCCCCTCCCAGGCTCTCGTCATCCAGCCCTGACCGCCGGGCTCTCACTCGAGTCCTCTACAGGCTTGAGGTCACAGGGGCCCGGCCAGGCCCTCTGAGTCCCAGCCCCGACTTCAAGAAGCCAAGGTGGCAGGCAGGTGGCAGGCCGCCCCTATGTCCCAGGCAGGCCTTCCGTCTGCGGCCTCCCGACAGGACAGACACCCGCCCTCTGCTCGAGCCGCCCAGGCACCGGGAGCTTGCTCTCTGGGAGGAGTGGGGTGGCTCTGCGGACAGTATGATACAGTCAGTCAGGCGTCAGCCCCTGTCCTAGAGCTGTCGGCCTTTCACTGTGTGACTCTGGAGGGGCTACTTAACCTCCCTGAGCCTCAGTTTCCTCAGACCGTCCTCAGTACACCTTGTTAGTCCTAACTGGTTGTGAGTCCCACCCCCCTCTGGGCCTTCGCTCCCCCATCCGAGCCCCATTGGGGTGGACCCGATGGGCTTCCAGCAGCTGATGGCCAGCTCAGCAGAACCGCCCAGGGCCTGCAGGCGAGGCCAGCAATCCTACGTTCCTGTACCCACGACAGCACCTGTGCTGGGGACACCTGTGAGGGTGAATGCTTGACTTATGGGCCTTAACAGAGGCCAGAGGCCGCCTCTGGGAGTTGGCTGGGGCCCAGGCTTGTCTCGCCAGGCTGCGCCGGAGGGACAGCGGCAGGTCCTTTACTGCGCTCGTTAATAGCAGAGGTGCCGCTGAGGGCCAGGTGGAAGGCCACACGGAGGGCAGTGGGCGCCCAACTGCGTGAACAGAGTCTTAGCATCATCCTTATGGAACCCTAGAACACGGCCAATCAGCAGCCCGGAGCCCCAGAAATCCCCACTTCTGACATCATGGCCACCTTCCAGCTAGAGAACGGGCCTCCCGGGAAACAGCCCTCAGGTCTAGGGAGAACTTGGAGCCCTCTCAAGTCCGTCACCTCACTCCACCCTCAGAAAGACCTGATGCAGCATCCTCCCATTCTACAGAGGAGGACACTGAGGCTCAGAGAGGACCAGAGACTGTCCACAGCCACACGGAGCTGAACTTCTGAGCAAAAGGAAGAGGCATCACTGAACAGGGAGTGAGGAGGTCTGGCTTTCAAGCCCCAACTCTGCCCCGAAATGATGGTGTGAACATGGGCCTTAGTATCTACACTTTCCAACAGAGGAGTTCCCACCAGAACCCAGGGTCCCTCTGCTCCTCCCTTCACTGTTTGACAGAGACAGGCCATGCACGCAGAGGCGGGGGTTGGGGGGAGAAATAGGCGCCCTCCTGTACCCAGGCACAACACTCAGACAGCCCTGCCCTTGGACCTGAGACCGGTGTTCACATTGAACCTGAGCTGCACCAGAACCATGGCATCTGCCTGCCCCACCCACGGCCCTGCTCAGGGAGTTGAGAGGTCTGGGGTCTGGGGCCACTTCCTCTGCCAAGGCCTTGGCATCTCTGGGCCCCGGAGTTCTTGTCTACAAAGGCGGCATGCTGAGCCCTGCGCCAGCCCCCCACCTATTTTCCAAGACAGCAGCCCCAGGAAGGAGTTCCTGTTCCCCCCAACTGGTCTCAGCTCCTGCTGGGCTTTGTCCTTCCAGAGGACCCTGCCCCCAAAGCCGCCAGGAGCTGGTGCGGAGCTCTGAGGGCCAGCCTGGGAGAGAGGCTCACACTTCAACTCCTCTCCCCACCCCAGTCTCAGCCACCGGATGCCAGGGACCCAGGCCTCGTCCCCTGCCCTCACTTACCAGTTGAACTCGTCGTAGTCATTGTGGACTTCCCACCAGAAGTAGAGCCAGGTGAGCGTGAGGCCAAAGGTGACGGTGAGGAGCAGGAACCAGAGGCGTTCCCACTGGAGGGGCAGAGCAGGAAAGGGGTCAAGTGGGGTCAGGGGTTGGCCCGGCAGGCCACCCACCTGAATGTGCCCTCCCTTCCCCCCCTCTGTAGCCAAACCTATCAGACAGGGACTAGTGCCCTCTTCACACTGGTAGGGACCTGAGGCTCAGAGAGGGGAGGTGACCTTCCAACATCAGAGCCTAAAGCACAAAACAGCAGGAGCCAGGAGAAGGGGAGGGCCACCCCAGAGCTGGCCGTTTTATTTGCTGCAGCCAGAGGCCTTTCCGGTGTACAACAGCCTCTCCCCTCTGGCAATGGCCCCAGGAGCAAAGGCCACATCTGCCCAGAGCCTTCCCACTGGCCTGATGACCTGCAGTCTGTGAACAGAGGACCCATCATGCATCTCCTTCCCTCCTCACTCAGGCCTGCAGTGCAGGTATTGTTCTTCCCTGCCTAGGCCAGTGCTACTGGTGTGAACACTGAGGCCCAGAGAGGCAAAGCAACTTGCCTAAGTCACACAGCAACTTAGTGAAGGATAAGGTAGGAGACAACCCCTAACCCCAATACACACACACTGAGGACCTGAGGAAATGCAGTGTCTATCCCCCCCATCAGGCACTGGCCCCCCAAGCTGGGCCAGGCCACCCCTCTGTCTCCTACAGGGGTGGAAGTAGGGAGGGTGGGGGCTGCTGACCAGCACGGCTGCTTCCCGAAGGGCCGGCTCAGAGGTCTGCAGACACTTCCGCCGGGCCCCGGGTTTATCCCTGCTTTCCTCCATCCCCTTATCTCAGAAGCACAACCAGCTCGGACATCCTGCTCTCTGGGAAACCGCTGAGATCATCAGAACCAACGAAGAGCCCTTGAGGGGAAGCCGGTGCAGGAGAGAACCAAGACCACCCTCCCCTGAGGGGTGGGAGGGCTTGAGGCACCGGCAACCTCTCACTTGGGTGCTGCCCAGGGGCCCCCCGGCGGGGCTCCCTGCAGCTTGCCTCCACTGCACAGGACAGCCAGCCCTGGTGCTACGGTTCTAATCCCAATTTACCTTCTTGATGGTTCCTTACTGTTCCACCAAGCAGGGTGCCCTCTGGGATGCGGCCTATCCCCAACCCTCCAGTTTCATATCCCCTTCCAGTTCTCTTACTCTGGAAGGCCCACCCCTGCCCCGGGTTTGGTCACCTAACGTTCCCATTTACTTTTCAAGTCAGCTCAGATGTCACCTCCTCTGTGAATCCTTCCTGAACTTTGCCCCTGCCCCCATGCTCCCTCTTTGGTGCTCCCACAGCATCAGTGTCCCTGTCTTTAAACTCATACTCTGTACATTGTGATCTGCTCATGTGACTGTATGTCCCAGATGACAACCCTGTGTCCCTGTGGTTCCTGCAAGGGCAGGGGCTGAGCCTGCCTCCACTCTCCTGGTACTTATGACTGGTTATGACTGGAAGAAGAGAAGGGAGAGTTCACTCACCGCCCAGGATTCCTCCATCCTACGCTGCCCAGAGGCACCCCCATGGGGCAGTTATGCCTGGTGTCTGGAGCCAGACCCCCTGCCCACCATTCACTAGCTGTCTCACCTCAGGCATGGCAAGAGGATGCAAACTCTCTGTGCCTCAGTTTCCTCCTCTGTGAACTGAGGACAATAACAGTGCTGATCCATGGGGTTGATGTGAGAATTAAATGAGATAATACAAGTCAAGTGCTCAGGACTGGCCAGTGGCCGGCATTGTCTCGGTGCAACTGTAAGCACATTCTGCCTCTCCCCAGCATGAGTGGCGGTGGTCCACAGACCCCGATAAGTCACAACTGTGAGCGTGTCTGCAGACCTGGTCCTGGGCAGGGGGCTGGAGCTCGGGTGACAAAGCAGCCTCCTCCACCTGCTGCTACACACAGAGCCTGGCGCCTTGCTCAGCCCCACTCTGCACGTACACAGAGATGTGAAGATGGCAACACCCTGAGGATACCATCCTTCCAGCAGGTGGAGGGGTGGCTCCTCAGAGAGCAGGCCACGGGTGTCTGCCCCACCCAGACGCCGAATGGCACAAGCCCCAATGAGTGTGGCCCAGCAAGGCCCAGCCTTGCTCGGGAGTGGAGAAGCCCTGGCTAGGACCAGACAAGCCCTGCACCTTCCTGGAGCAAAGGAGCCCCGGCAGCCACCAGCCAGAGGATGGCTGGTAGTGTCTGGGGGAGCAGAGAAGGGCCCAAGTTCAGTCCTGCCTTTCTCGGCTGGGCCCTAACTCCAGAGAGGCTGGCCCACACTGGCATGTCTGAGCCACCACCCCCGTCCTGGCTGGTCCAGCATCACCCCTCCCCCAAATCTAAGAATCCCTCTTGTTACCTCCAATTCTTATTTGCTCACAGTAAGAATTCATTTACACCCATTTCCTGCAGAGGGCAGCTGGCAGGTCCCAGGCCAACTTAAACAGCTGGATCTCGGAAGACGGATGCACCTTTGCTGATGGCATTTGAGAGTCCGCTTCTGCATCCCAGCCCCCGCCTCTGCCCCAACACGGGCACTTTACCAGCCATGCACCCCATCACCTACAGCCCCTCAAACAGGCTCTTTCAAGCTGGTGTCCATGCACGAGCCGTGCCCTCCATCTAGTCCACAGCCAGGCCCTCCTCCTCCCTGAGGCCCTCCCTGTCCCTGCAGGGTCTCCCATCTCCTCCGTCCATTCCAGCACACACCCACTGGGCCGTTCTACAGCGTCTAGGTGCCAGTCTCCCTGCTGTACTGTAGGAGCCTTGACAATCTGGGTGGTCCTCATATTTCCAGGGTGGGTGGGGACTTAAGAGAGATTTGATAATGAAACAGAAAGTGAGGAAACACCCTTTCTCCTGCCCCTGAAAGAATATGCCCACCCAGGAGAGATTTCACTGCAAGCTTACCACACACCTCCCCCCCGTCAGAGGAGCCTTAGTCTTCTAGGGACCCTGAACTGGCAGTAGTGAGTGGCCATCTGTCCAGAGGTCACTCTGCCACAGCAGGACAAGGCCACTGTGCCTCTGATCAGCAGGCAAGGTTCTAAGAGGGTCCCAGGTGAAGGCTGAGCCTTGGCCAGTGATGGGTCCTGCCCCAGGCAAGCAGCCTAGAGGTCAGCAGGTGGTGGGACCAGGGGTTGGCTACAGATGCTGGGGGATGCCCCATGATGAGGTGTGATGGAGGACCCAGGGACTACGCTGGCCAGGTAGACCACAGGTGCCAGGAGGGCCCGCAGCAGGCAGGGGTCTTGTCCACCAAGGGTCACTGTCCTCACTTGGCTAGATCCTGAGAGTGGGGCAGGGCCGACAGGGTGGAAATGAGGGGCTGCCCCGCCCTGCCCCTGGGAACCAGCCGGGGTGACAGGACTAGCGCTGACAGGCGGTGAAGTACCCAGGGCAGGGAGGAGGTGGAAGCAGGGCCTAAGGAACATGGAACTAGGAACCGCAGGACTAGGCGTGGGCTGGGGCTGAGGGCACCTAGGGATGGCTGTGCTGGGAGCCGGAAGCCAGAGGTCCCTCGGCCACAGGGAACCTGGAGATGGGGATGAAGAGGCCCCGGCACAGTGCGGAGGGAGACAGGGTCATTCTAAGAACAATCAGAGGAAAAAACTAAAGGGCAGGGGCTGGAAGAAGGGGGAGGGGAGGGCAGGGCACTGGTAGGAGGAAGTGGGGGTTGGGGAGCGGCTCCACGGACAAAGGGCTCCCAGCGGCACTAGCAGTCCCTGTCAGGGCCGCCCGCACACTGCCCAGCCTGTTTGGAGGGGGCGAGGGGACGTGGGCTGAGAACCCAGAGGAGGCACGTGGATGCTCCGGCCCTCGCTTGCTTCTCCGTCTGTACAACGCCGGGGCGGGGGTGGCGCTGATTATGGGTCTGCACCCCACCCGAGAGCAAATGAAGACACTGACCCTCAGAGAGGAGCCACCACAGACAGGGCTGAGCAAACTGTGGACACCAACACCAAAAAGTGCCACTTACGCCGTGGCCACCATTGACGCGCATGTGTGTCGTGACAGTTTTCCAGCAGATGCCCGCCGAGAGTCCCGGGAAGGGGCACCTTGGCTGTTTTGCACGAAGGCTCCGTGTGGGTGAGTGGAGGAGACCCAGAGGCTGATGACGTGCCCAAGGCTAGCGAGTGGGGCAGGATGGAGGGGGGTGCACCCGGGGACCCTGACAGAAGGCAGTCCTCCAAGGTGCCTCGGGACCCAGCCCCCTACACCTCTCCCCAAAACCCACCCTTGCCCTCTGGGACCTGCATGGCCACCCCAGGCCCAGCTCGACTCACTGGGGTTCCTCTCTCCTCTCTCTCTGCTCCCACCCTCCTCCCTACCCAACCTGTCCTCCTTGGGGAAGCCCTCTCCTTGCTCCAGCCTCTCAGCCCTCCCTGCCCTGGCCCCTTCTGCACAGACTTTTGGCACCCACCAGTGTGACCCTTACATTCTGAATTATGGAGGTGGAAACAGCCCAGGCTCGAGAGCCAGACAAACCTGGTTCTGCCACCTGGATAAGAGGGGCAACTTATTCCGCCCCTCTGAGTCTCAGTTTTGTCTCCTGTAAAATGGGAACAACGCCCCCTGCCTCGGAGGTTGATGTTAAATGAGGTGGTGCGTGTCACGTGGGACACAGCAGAAGCACAGTAGGAACCAGGGCCGTGAACTCCTTCGGGGCAGGGTATCTGAGGTACTCTGCGTGCCCTGGGCCCGCATCCTGTGGGGCACGAGGCAGAACTCAGATACGGTACAGATAAGTGTGCGAAGGCAGCTGTCACGCAAGGAGGGGGCAGGGCTCCCTGTGGGTAAACCATCACCCAAGCCCAGACATGCCCGCAGGCTGAGCCCAGGGGCCCATGGAACCAAGGGAAGGAGCTCCCCAACCTCCTTCCCGTCAGACCCTGAGCTGCCTGGGCGCAGGGCGAAGGTCAGGCAGCCCGGAGCTGGCAGGTGCGGCAGGCGCCCAGAGGCTGAAAGCAGCCGGGAAGGGGTGGGCCCTGGCTCTGACACCATCCCGGAGACTCCGGGCATTCAGCCCCCCACCCCCAGCCT